TACCTTTTACTGCAGTCCTCTGGAGTTTGCTGATGCATTCTGGATAGCCTTCCATTTAATTACCTAACAATGTATCCAGGAGATTCTTCTCCTTGCCAGGAAACTCTGTAGCTTGAAGAAAGTCCATCACTTTACTGGTTTAAATTTCTTCCCTGGCTTCAAAGTGCTTCTAACACTTTTTGCTGAGCTCGATGGATCTTTTTTATTTGACAGGACACAATGACCCCATCATTACTTTATTCTACATGATTTGTTCTGTTTTAATATATCCTTTCCATTTATGCTGTTACTCTACAACATATTATTTTCTAAGGCTTTTATATCAATTTCTGAAGTTACAAACTCAGTTAAAATGCAACAAAAACTAGGAGCTGGAAAAATGCAGAAAAGCCATCAATCTTATTCTCAAGAAACACATTTAAACATGTGAAACATCAAGACTGTCTTAATGTCTTTTTTAACTATATCTAAGGATACATGACTAGTAAACTGAGTTGCTCAATTGTTCTTACTTCTAAAATTAAGATTCAATGCTATGTATGGTATTGCAAATACAGTGTATATTTGCTCATTCACAACCAGAGAAAGACTTAATGGAAACTTTAACTAAATGAATACTAATAATAGCCAAAAATAATAATTCCTCACTAGAACTGTAGTTAAACATATTAATAGAATTCCCCAGTATCCTAACATCAAGTTGCAGAACATTAAAATTAGCCTTAAATGAGTTTCAGTTAACAGACACAGAGATAATTAAATGCTCATTACACTCTACCTATTGTTTACGGCGCACACCTGATAATTAAACATTGATTATGTATTTTTCCCTCATTATAACTACTTATTTCTTCTTCATCAATAGAGCCTATTATACATCAACAAACACAAAAAGAATTCAGCGCTAGTAATCACAAAATTAGTCAAGGTAGGCAGCAACCCAAATGAAGGAAAACCCCTCGGGTCCTTCGGTGGATAGATACAAAAAGATATGGAAGGGCTGCGCCAAATAAGGGTAGATAGTCCAGTAAAGTATTGCTAGGGTGCCAATAGATGGTCTAGGATACTTGATAGAGGTCCTCTGTGGATGCGCCTAGTGTAGACAGTTCCGTATATGTAAATACAAGAGAGGTAGAGGCGACTAATGGTATAGTATGAAAGTTCAGGGTGTGATAGGTAACAAAAAGTAAAGAACTCACATTCAAGAGAGCTATGGCCAGCTCTGGTGTGGATTGCGTACAGCGGTATAATCCCCGCTTATGGGATATGTAGGGAGGGGGTCTCCGTCAACACCGTCTGGTAGTCCAGAACTCGGAAAAGAAAGACAGAAAGCAACAATAGTGCTCTCAATTTTGATGTGGTTCAATGTGCAGATAAGAAGAGGTAAAAAAACTCACATTTGAGGGAGCTATGGCCAGCTCTGGTGTGGATAGCGTACAGCGGTATAATCCCCGCTTATAGGATATGTAGCGGCGATACGTCCGTCAGCACCGTCTGGTGATCCAAGGCTCCAATATAGAACAATAAAAAGCAGCAATAGTGCTCTCAATTGTGATAGGTTAAGAGAGTAGTAGAGAAAATAAAATAATACTCACAAATATAGAGCAGAAGTACTGCTCTATGGATAGGCGCTGGTGGTATGATCCCCACCTAGGAATTCTTGGAGTACTGGAACTTTAAAAATGCCAGTGGAAGTAAAAGTAACCAGGAAAGGTTAAAATGCCAGGAATAGGTAAAAAAAAAAGTTGTTTAAAGTGCATAAAGAGTGCAATAAAAAGAGGATTGGCATAAAGAGTGCAATAAAAAGAGGATTCAACTTTTTTTTTTTTTTACTTTAATCAAACTTTTTTTTTTCTTTCTCTTTAAAAAACAACTTTCTCACCCTCGTTTTCACATTTAAATAATTTAAATGGACTCATCACCTTTAAAACATCACTCCCATACTCTTGAATCCTAATTTTGAAAAGTGATTTTAAAAATTGTCTCTGATTGGCCAATTACACTTTTGGCACAATTTTCAAATTAACATAGCCCTATTTAAACAACCCCTGCCAGGTTACTACTTTTATCCCATTCTGAAGAAGCCACTTATGGTGAAACGCGTTTATGGTTATTAATTCTGTATTTTACTGTGTATTTTAGATCAATAAAAGTTTTTTGGCTACTTTATTGTACCAATCCTTTTTTTATTGCACTCTTTATGCATTGCAGGAGCATCATTAGTACCTTGTACTGAGTGTTTTTAGCGGGGCTCTCTACATAGCCTGCCCTGATTGCGGCAGATCTGGAGGCTGTCAGTCTGCGGTGTATTCACACTGACACTCCATTGCTGTATTTGTGTACAGCCCTGTCCCCTTTCCACATGGACCCAGATCATTTCACCGATCATATCAAATAACAAGGGTTTTTTTTAAAACTGCTAGACTGTTAGCAACTCCCAGAAACAATATATACATTCAAAGGCATGATACAGATCTTTCAATAATTTCATATTAATTGAAAAGATACACCCACAGAATTATTTAAAGGATCACTATAGGGTCAGGAACACAAACATGTATTCCTGACCCTTTAGTGCTAAATCCACCATTTAGGTGGCTTGTCCCCCCTAACTATAAAAGTATAAAACTCACCTTATTTCCAGCGCCGTACGGGTCCGCCCAGCCCCCTTTGTGACATCATCGAAATGGACGATTTCTAGCCAATCCAATGCTTTCCCAAAGGGAAACGGGGTGGGGCCAAATGCCGTTTTGGCCAATCAGGAGCTCCTCATAGAGATGCATTGAATCAATACATCTCTATGAGGAATATACAGCGTCTCCATGCAGAGTGTGGGGGCGCTGACAGCAGGGCTGCTTACTGTGCAGCCCTGAGCCAGGAAGCACCTCCAGTAGCCATCTAAAGAGTTTCTCTGAAAAGGCAGTGTTTAGATGAAAATGCCTGAAGGAAGTTATTATACTCACCAGAACAACTACATTAAGCTCTAGTTGTTCTGTTGACTATAGTGTCCCTTTAATAAAACAAGGATTTGAGGAAAATGTTACATTTTAGGCCACTGACATTTAGCTGGTAGAGTACCAGGACTCGAGATCATTATTCTAAAGCACCAAATATATAGAGAAATGTATGTAACCTGCGAAAAAGCCTTTAATTGGATTAGAAGGAACAGCATTGTCTTAAAATTAATGCAGATCACTAAAACACTTTATTTACCATTAATGTCTGCTTAAACAATGTATAGAACCAAATTTTGCAAATGTTAAAATATATCCAGATGTACTATTTCTTGTCAACAGTGGAAGAACGTAACCTTTCTCTATAATCTCTGTTGAAAACTAGTGAAAACGTATCTTAGTCCACACAGGATATTGCAATAACTACTCTTCCAAAACAAACAATTTATTAGCTTCGGATTCAAGATTCACAGCTGCCTAACTAGAGATTGTAAACACGATAAGGCTTGTTTTATTATATGCTGACGGTCAGTGGTGTTTCTCAGTTTGGATGTTTATTTCTATCCTGGAAATCACAATTTCTGTTGCACTTACTACTATCCCTTGTGAATTGTCCTAGTTTTAAGAGCTTGAATAACCGTAGTGTTATTTATACTTACCCATTCGGTCAGACACTGCTAGCGCAGCGCTACCTTGCTCTTACACTTAACAGTTTGCTTTTTTTTGTGTTTCTGGTACCAAAGGGGCTTTCGTGCATATATACTGTGCATGCAGCAACCTCCACTAAAAGCTTATTGTATGTGTGCGGATATTAAAGTTAGACAAGAATTATTACTACTTGATATGTAGCGACCTTACGGAAAAAAAAAACACCACAAAAAAACAGAAATAACAGATTTTACAGATTTTACAGTCATTTTTTCATCATGTACACATCCCATTAATAAATTGCTCTGTGCAAAAAGCGCTGTGTGGGTTCTATGCTACATAGAACTTTTTATACATATGATATCATTTAATGAGACTTTGGAGGGTCATTAGTAGATGAATTGCTGCAAATCTTTGTTACTGTTCTCTGTCTGATGAAGTCCCTTCGTAAAATGATGTAGGGATGGCTGTGAGTGCTGGGCTTTGAACTCTGAGAGCTGCCTTTTTTTAACCTCACTGTTATGTGAGGGGCAGCAGAAGGACTAGGTATTGATTGCTTGGATTGTTCCATTTTTTTGTCAGACATGGTTTGATCACAAATGGGGGGCTAGGCCCCAAATGTATCGGTTATTGTGCTAAGTGTGCCTGTTTAAGGGATTACATATAATGGCAATAAAGAGAAGTTAGAAATATGATAGTGTTATTTTAAACTGGAAGAAGGTAAAAGACTGATGAGCAATTCCAGGAAAATGACATTATGTAAAGTATAGTAGACATCTAGAATCGTCTTAGATTGATAGATATAATATCCAATAGATTGTCAGGTTGCTTCACCTCTTGTGTCTTCCAACTTTGACCTTGTGTGTTGATTCCTTGCTGTTATATATTTTAGCCAGTTAATGATTGTAAAGCCCTGCAGAATGGGTTGGCACTATATAAATGATTATAATTACAATGCAGTTAAAGGTAGCACAATAAAGTATTTCAAGAATGCCAAGCATGTACGCAAGGCTACACTGGTTCTCAAATAAGCAATATCAGAGATATTTCTTAATCTTTACACAAGATGGTTTAATTGGTTTTCATTTGCATTGTCAGTCTGTGTTTCTTTGACAAGTCACAGCATCAGGGAGGGCAGAGCCAACTGCCTGACTGATCGAATGCAGGAGTTCTGGCTAAGCCACGAGCTAAAACGGCTAGTTCACCAGTTTGGACCCACAAAACTTGCCCAAGAGAGAGCTGTTGTCTCCAGCTAGCATGGGGCGTGAGTCTAAGAAATATTGGGCAGATGAGCCCCCAACTACCGCCGATATCGGCGATCTCTTATGTTGGCCCTAAAGCTCCACGAGGCCTGTCATGGCGCCTCTCTCGGATGGGCCGTCTTGCTCGTCCAGTGAAATGTTCCTACCTGATCTGAGGGAACTGGAGGTAAAGACTAGAGACAAGCAAGCTGCTATACAGTCTGATCGAAAATCTGGAACATCAGTGACGGAAGGTACCCTGAAGGACCTCCTAGACAAGTTATGCCGAAATATTGCTGCTGACATCTCTGCATTTAAAGAAGAGATCAGTGGAGTAATGGCCCGCCTACATGAAACAGAGGTTACCACAGCTTGCCACGAGACACGACTTACTACCCTAGATTGGGAACTCTCCACGTTATGGCGCAAACAGGCGCAGACACAGTATGTGGCGGCAATGGAGGACCGGAGGCGGTGGAAGAACATAAAGGTGCAAGGCCTTCCCGACAATATCGCCACAGCTGAACTACCTCACCTGTTTCGGAGGCTTCTAGCCCAACTACTCTTTGCCAAACAAGCCAAATTAATGTCTCTGTACGGATGCTACAGGCCCCCAGCTCCTCCGGCAAGTTCAACAGGAGTGCACAGGGACATCGTAATCTGCTTCCAAAACAGCCCTGACAAGCAGGTGTTCATGACCGCCATTCGCAATAAGTCACCCTACTCCTTTGAAGAACTCCAGCTGGCATTCTTCCCAGATCTATCCAGAGCTACTTTGGACTGGAGAAGGGCCCTGAGACCCTTAACTCTGGAACTTACAAAACATAAGGTGCCTTAAAGATGGTGCCTTTCAATGTCTCGGATTCATGGGGGATCTGTCTTCTGATCCTCCATGAATCCGAGACATTGAAAGTACTGGAGGCTTCGGATATACCCAGCACCCTCCAGAAAATTGGGTTGTCCACTGCTGCAGAAGGACCGCCATATACAGCTCCGGACCCACAGTTGTCTGCCTGGGATACCTCGAGGGTTCGTCCGTTTGTGCCTGCCGCGCCAAGCGGTAGCCCTGCAACTACCGCTGTTTCCTGTACTGACCAAGACCACCTGCAGTGACTCTGTTATGTTTAGTTTGTTTTGATATTTCTTTCTTCTGAAGTTACACATAATCTCCCTGTATCACTGCACCAATGCGCTATCACCACAATGACAGCCCATTGGGATGCATCCCCCTACTCTAAATACACCCACTGGCATGGGGATTATTCTCCTTTACCCCCCTCCACTCACTCGCCTTTTTTGTAACTATGCTACTACCGTAAGTGCTAACCTCTAGCCGAACTACTGTGGCTTATATGTTTACATTTTGAGACGGCATGAGGCACATAGCCTATGCTACCCCTTAAATCCAAATTCTACCCTACACCACTTCTTATAGGGATAGTGGGCTCAGTCTTTGCTGTTCAAATTTATTTACTTTTATTTTTATTTACCCTCTCGACATATAAAACTCTTAATCCATTAGTTCATACTACTATTCACAATAATGGCTTATGTTGTGTATTGTACCATGTTATTTTAACCATGCTCCTGCTAGCACACAGCCAGTACTTTTGGTGGATTAAGCACGCAGTAAGAATTTAAATAACAAAAAACTGTGCACATGTAATATACAGTTTGCCATGTCCCTGTTATACCATGTTAATAATTGCTTTGCATGCAGCTGTTGTCGTGGCACTGCGCGCATCTACCGTGTTTCCCCGAAAATAAACCCTACCCCGAAAATAAGCCCTAGTCGGATTTTCGGGGTGGGCTGCAATATAAGCCCTACCCCGAAAATAAGACCTAGGCATTGTACCTTTGCGGCGAGACTTCCTTCTTCTGCTGTAGGAGGAGCGTCGCGCAACGTGATGACGACATTTTGCAGCGCCGTCAGTCTGCCTTCACGGATCTTCAGCGGAAGGATCCATTTCCGGGCGGTGAGGCTCCCAGTGGTCGGACTCGGCAAGGAATCTTTGAAATGTGAGTACCGCTAGATATTTTATGTCTGGGATTAATTGAATTAATTAAAGGGGGTGGGGGTGGTGAATTAATTAAAGGGTGGGCTGGATTAATTAGAGGGGGGTGAATTAATTAAAGGGTGGGCTGGATTAACTAGAGGGGGGTGAATTAATTAAAGGGGGGTGAATTAATTAAAGGGGACTGGATTAATTAGAGGGGGTGAATTAATTAAAGTGGTGGTGAATTAATTAAAGGGTGGGCTGGATTAATTAGAGGGTGGGCTGGATTAATTAGAGGGGGTGAATTAATTAAAGGGGTGGTGAATTAATTAAAGGGTGGGCTGGATTAATTAGAGGGGGTGAATTAATTAAAGGGGTGGTGAATTAATTAAAGGGTGGGCTGGATTAATTAGAGGGGGTGAATTAATTAAAGGGGTGGTGAATTAATTAAAGGGTGGACTGGATTAATTAGAGGGGGTGAATTAATTAAAGGGGTGGTGAATTAATTAAAGGGGTGGTGAATTAATTAAAGGGTGGGCTGGATTAATTAGAGGGGGTGAATTAATTAAAGGGGTGGTGAATTAATTAAAGGGTGGGCTGGATTAATTAGAGGGGGGTGAATTAATTAAAGGGGGGTGAATTAATTAAAGGGTGGACTGGATTAATTAGAGGGGGTGAATTAATTAAAGGGTGGGCTGGATTAATTAGAGGGGGGTGGATTAATTAGAGGGGGGTGGATTTATTAAAGGGGGGGTGGATTAATTAAAGGGGGGGTTCAATGTACATACCGGTACCGTAAATAAATAAGCCCTACCCTGAAAATAAGCCCTAGTGAGTTTTTTGTGACTAAAATTAATATAAGACCCGGTCTTATTTTCGGAGAAACACGGTATGTTCCCACTTGCACTTTCAAAATAAAGATTGACAAAAATAAAATAAAAATCACAGCATCAGTAAAACAGTTACAGGTGTGTAATGAGAGTTTAGAAGATATTTTCCATTGGGTATACAGGGAGTGCAGAATTATTAGGCAAATGAGTATTTTGACCACATCATCCTCTTTATGCATGTTGTCTTACTCCAAGCTGTATAGGCTCAAAAGCCTACTACCAATTAAGCATATTAGGTGATGTGCATCTCTGTAATGAGAAGGGGTGTGGTCTAATGACATCAACACCCCATATCAGGTGTGCATAATTATTAGGCAACTTCCTTTCCTTTGGCAAAATGGGTCAAAAGAAGGACTTGACAGGCTCAGAAAAGTCAAAAATAGTGAGATATCTTGCAGAGGGATGCAGCACTCTTAAAATTGCAAAGCTTCTGAAGCGTGATCATCGAACAATCAAGCGTTTCATTCAAAATAGTCAACTGGGTCGCAAGAAGCGTGTGGAAAAACCAAGGCGCAAAATAACTGCCCATGAACTGAGAAAAGTCAAGCGTGCAGCTGCCACGATGCCACTTGCCACCAGTTTGGCCATATTTCAGAGCTGCAACATCACTGCAGTGCCCAAAAGCACAAGGTGTGCAATACTCAGAGACATGGCCAAGGTAAGAAAGGCTGAAAGACGACCACCACTGAACAAGACACACAAGCTGAAACGTCAAGACTGGGCCAAGAAATATCTCAAGACTGATTTTTCTAAGGTTTTATGGACTGATGAAATGAGAGTGAGTCTTGATGGGCCAGATGGATGGGCCCGTGGCTGGATTGGTAAGGGCAGAGAGCTCCAGTCCGACTCAGACGCCAGCAAGGTGGAGGTGGAGTACTGGTTTGGGCTGGTATCATCAAAGATGAGCTTGTGGGGCCTTTTCGGGTTGAGGATGGAGTCAAGCTCAACTCCCAGTCCTACTGCCAGTTCCTGGAAGACACCTTCTTCAAGCAGTGGTACAGGAAGAAGTCTGCATCCTTCAAGAAAAACATGATTTTCATGCAGGACAATGCTCCATCACACGCGTCCAAGTACTCCACAGCGTGGCTGGCAAGAAAGGGTATAAAAGAAGAAAATCTAATGACATGGCCTCCTTGTTCACCTGATCTGAACCCCATTGAGAACCTGTGGTCCATCATCAAATGTGAGATTTACAAGGAGGGAAAACAGTACACCTCTCTGAACAGTGTCTGGGAGGCTGTGGTTGCTGCTGCACGCAATGTTGATGGTGAACAGATCAAAACACTGACAGAATCCATGGATGGCAGGCTTTTGAGTGTCCTTGCAAAGAAAGATGGCTATATTGGTCACTGATTTGTTTTTGTTTTGTTTTTGAATGTCAGAAATGTATATTTGTGAATGTTGAGATGTTATATTGGTTTCACTGGTAATAATAAATAATTGAAATGGGTATATATTTGTTTTTTGTTAAGTTGCCTAATAATTATGCACAGTAATAGTCACCTGCACACACAGATATCCCCCTAACATAGCTATAACTAAAAACAAACTAAAAACTACTTCCAAAAATATTCAGCTTTGATATTAATGAGTTTTTTGGGTTCATTGAGAACATGGTTGTTGTTCAATAATAAAATTAATCCTCAAAAATACAACTTGCCTAATAATTCTGCACTCCCTGTATTAGAATGTTTAAGATGCAACTCACATAATATCCCAGCAGAACAACCACAGAAAACAAACAGATTTCAAAGCTAATGCACGTGTCATTAGATTAATCCATTAACACTACAATTATTAATAATTGAAATAATCAGCATGTATTGCCTTAAAGGAACACTCCAGACCCCTAAAGCACTTTGATTTGCTGAAAAGTTGTGTGAAGAGTGTATCCTATTTTTTTAATTTTCCAGAAAGTGCAGATTTAAATAGAAATTGACACTTTTAGAAATTAACCTGGTTACACCTCCCCCGGTTGTCAATCAGGCAACTGTTCCTGTTACTTCCTGGTTTGTTTAGCTCAGTGAAGCTAAACTCAAGAGGCAGCAATTGCCCAGAGCACCTGCCTTCAAAGACTGCTCATTGAGCTGCATTGGGAACTCTGTGATTGGACAGCTACAGAAAGTCTGGGCGGGGTTAGAACGCTTTGCGAAGGCTGCAGACAAGAGGTCTGCAGCTTTTGCAAACTGCTTTAGATATATCCCCAATGAGAAAATGCATAATTCAATGCATGCTAGATTGCCATCTGGGCTATATCTACTAAACAGTGATTTGTATTTATTTTGCATTTGGGCAGTGTCGTGTCCCTTTAATAGGTCTGTCAAACTTGGCATTAAGTAACCAAGGTAAAACTTTAAAAGGATTAACTGTATAGACAGGATGCAGGAGATAAAGACACATTGGAATCATTTGCCAAATTTGGACTGAATAAGTTACAAATTATTGTTAATATTACATTTTAATATTTAGTGTTAATTGAAAGAGTGGAATAGGTACTAATGGTACTTAACACATCAAAAGTACCAGAGGTTATGTGTGATTCAATTCTAGCAGTGTATATGATGAACTCAGCATTATCAAAGGTGAAAGCAGGTTTTTATTATAAGCATATCTACTCAACAGGGATTTGTTGGGATAAAGGATAGTGCAACAAATAAATTGTAATTTCATTCCTTATTCTTTTCACTCCCTGACCTATGTACACATGTGGCAGAATTACAAGTTCTTTATAGCTCTCAGCAATATTTCTCTGTGTTAATAAATAATAATACATATATCCATACTTACGGATATACCAGAATTAAATTTTCTCTCGTCCCTTAACTTCAATCTACACACAGTTGTTGTTTTGTCGTTATTTCGTGTGCAATCTACTAATTTAATGCTTCAATAGAATTATGAATTTCCGTGGTACCTGGCCTCTGTTATTATGAATTGTGATGGATAGTCAA